GTAAAGCAGATTATTTTTTTAAAACCCTATTTTACATTAGACTTGGACAATACCTAAACAACTTTGTCTCAGATACATCTGTTGTCCAAATCTGCTAGATATTACAAAGAAGTACAAGCTCTTCCATTTCATAGAAACGTATCTCACTGAAGGGCATTTCCCACCAAAGACGACATGGAAAGGAATCGTTAATAACACGGTAGCTCGATTTGAAAGACAGAAATGGATAGAAAAGGTATCTACTCGCCAAGATCTGAAACGTTTTCATATGATACATGAAAGACTAGCTCCACACAGATGGTGGAATATGTGTGACCTTTACAACATGAACAGCAGGCCAATATATGCCCTAGTTAAACTAGGTATTTTACCCATAACAACTGGTATATATATGATGTGTGTAGCAGGCCAATATATGCCCTAGTTAAACTAGGTATTTTACCCATAACAACTGGTATATGTATGATGTGTGTAGCAGGCCAATATATGCCCTAGTTAAACTAGGTATTTTACCCATAACAACTGGTATATATATGATGTGTGTAACAGGCCAATATATGCCCTAGTTAAACTAGGTATTTTACCCATAACAACTGGTGTATATATGATGTGTGTAGCAGGCCAGTATATGCCCTAGTTAAACTAGGTATTTTACCCATAACAACTGGTGTATATATGATGTGTGAAGAAGAATGTAACGATGTTGTACTGCACCAGTTAATAAACTGTGACAGTCTGGTGCAAGAAAGAAATATCCTCTATGAGAAACCGTTTGATTTACTGTGCCTTAACCAATATCTTAAAATAGAAGATTGTACAGACAACGAAGTGAGAGTTGTGACACTACTTGGTGGCATTACGCATCTTGTAGAGAAGATGACACTCGATACATGGGCTCAATTCATAAGCATAGTCAGCAAAGAAAGAAGCTCATGGCAGCTTACGTCTATTCTCTATCTGTAGCTTGACTATATACATATCTGATGTCATGCATGTACATACTGATTAATTCATTTCCATGTTTATACTCTCCGATACTAATGGAGGAAATAAAGATTATTCCTACAGTGTAGGTATGTACGTATGTTTCATATCCAGTGTAAGTATGTACGTATGTTTCATATACAGTGTAAGTATGTACGTATGTTTCATTTACAGTGTAAGCATGTACGTATGTTTCATATACAGTGTAAGTATGTACGTATGCTTCATATACAGTGTTAGTATGAACGTATGTTTCATATACAGTGTAAGTATGTTAGTCAGCCTGAAAAGAACAAAATATGTAAATATAAACTAGAACTTATACATATGTACTGATTGTTACACTTACCTTTTGCATTTAATTTAATAAAATAAACATAAACTTGAACATGAACTTGAGAAGCAGTGCATGAAATTTGCAGCTTTTTCCCTGAGTGGGTTGGCAGAGACCCCTCGTCTGCGAAAAGCATGTATCTGATGTGGGTTTCACGGACTTTGGTTTTTGCCTTCACGCGCGCACCTTCCCATCCTATCTTGTGTGGAGGTAGATGGTGAAAAGGCGTGCGTGTGTCCCTTTCGTTTATAAAAAAAAAGCATTGTGGCAAGTAAGCACTTGCTGGGGTGCTTGGTTGGACAGGTGAACCTTGGAATCTCTGTTCACAAGGTCGACGGTTCACATGGTCCGGAAACGGCCGGGCGGTTTCTGCGAACGTCAGGGAGTGAAATGATGCAGTGCAGTATTAAATACCCTTTTTTGTGTAGAAGGGAGGAAACTGGTTAATAATCACCTGTGCTGCGACAGTAGGACCTAGTGTGTGAATCCCCTTAAGATCAGGCTGAATATCGCGTAAGTAAAAGGATGTGAAAGTGTTCCGCGATTTCCACTGGCAGCTTGAAACCACTTCTTCTAAGTTAATGAAGTCCATGAGTCAGGGACCCTAGCAACAGTAGCCATGGCTAATAGAAAGGCTGCCTTCTTCGATTTTTGGAGTAATGTAGCAGAAGCGAGAGCGTCAAAGGGTTCTGTTAGTAGAGCTGATAAAACGACTGACAGGTTTCATTCCGGAAAGGTAGGAGGGACACGAACATCTTCCAAAAGGAACAAACGCATGAGTCTGTTTACGATACTATATTTGACGATCGAAAGGCTGTCATGTTGGAGAACTGAATGAAGAGCGGATTGATATCCCTCGATTGTCCCGTGACTAAACCTGTTATCCTGACGAAGATGTAGGAGAAAGTCGTCAACCATAGGGATAGTAACGGCAACATTTCCTAATCCCGATCGTAAGTAGGGCCAGGAGTCTGGGAAACCAAGGTCTTTTGAGCCAGATCGGGGTGATGGGACAGTCTGCCAGTTCTATCTTCTATATCATCTTGTCTAGAACCATGGAGGAAATGCATACGCAAATAGGTTGGTCCAGTCCATTGATAGAGTGTCGATCTGCAGAGCTCTCGGATTCGGTACCGGACTGATGTAGACAAGTCGCAAACAGACCCATGAGCGGAGTGTCCATATCAAAGTGATCCAGGTGAAGAGTCCATTCTGTGGAAACGATCCTCCCGTGTCTGGACAGGCTGTCCACGAGGATGTTCAACTTTCCTGTGATATGTTTAGTTTCAATCCGGCAGTTGTGTGAGTCGGACAAGTCGAATAAAAGCAAGGTTTCCTTCATCAGAGAACTGGACTTGGTTCCTCCCTGTTTCTGTTTATACGCAAGTACTGTTGTGTTGTCTGTGGCGATAAGAACTGAGGAGTTGGTGAGGAGATCTTTCCAATTCTGGATCACATAGAATATAGCCCTCATCTCCCTGCAGTTTATGTGGAGATTCTATATCTGGAGATCTGTCAGATGGGCTTCCCAGCCAGAGTCGGGGAAAAGGTGAGAGCAGTGCCCGTCATGACATGCTGTTGATGCATCCACCACATGAGGTGGTCTTGGGAGGGGATTGGTAATGTAACCAGAGTGTCTAACGATAAGTTCCAAAGACTGTTCATCCAGGCCTGTACAAATGGTTGTTGTAGCCTTCCTCTGAAGGTCATGTCCTGGATAGACGTTAACCTTCTGGGGAGAGACATCCACCATCTGATTGTAGGAGTCGGTAACGTCAGAGCATTGTCGATCACGAGATTTAGGGATGTAAAGCAATTTTCTAGAGGACAGTGTAAGCCCGCTGTAATTCAGATTCTGGACGGGCGTGAGCTCTGATTTGGAAGGATGAGTGAGAAAACCCAGATAAGAAATGTCTGCTTTTCAGATTGTTGAGACTTGTCTTGATCGGTCGCCAGAAAATCTGAGTAGGCAGACTAAATGGAGACTGGTATTGCTGATCACCGGTGCCGTTATTCGAGGAGGACCTGGAACTCGTAGTGATGCCCATTCACTGCAAACGTGAGGTATTTCTGAGACAAGGACTAGGAGCCCCTTCTGTTGGATTCCCAAAATTTATAGTCTGATTGACAAAAAGAGTCGTGATGATGCTGTGAAATCTGTTCATCTGAATGAGTGAGATGATTCTTTGCTTTAAGGGATATACTTCTTCTGGGGTGGTTCAGTGTAAGGAGCATCTCTTGAATGATCTCTTGATCTTTAAGATGCTTCATGAGCACTGGCTGCGAGGTTGATAGTCGATACTTGAAATCTCTCTGCTGTATCTGTCTAACCTCATTCAGAATCAGAATGGACATATGAGGCTGTTGTATTCTGATCATCTAAACCATTGGAGTCTAGGTAGTTAAGCGGGTCTACATAATGCCTGTGAGGGATATCATCTTGCGGTGTCCATGACTCTGGCAATATCTGTCCACGGGTTGGGGCACCGTAAGGTTGCCCTGTTGCCTCTTTGGATGAAGTCAGCAAGCCCCGTTCGGTCCGTACGGAAGCTGGACAGTGGTAAAGCTGACTCGGCACATTATAAAATTAATACAAGGATTCAATTATATAGATAACACTGTATTCATGTTTGGACGCTCCCTGGGCGTTGCTTGGACTCTCCCGTGTGTTATTTATTAGGACCGCCTCCATCACCAGTAGGTGCTCAATGGCTTCTAGCTCCGAGTCACAGATGCTATTTACGTGGAGGAGAGCTCAGAGTAGTGGTCAATCCAACTCTCTGACTGACTACTTCTGTCACTGATTGTTTTGTAGATTTCAAGGGAGTTGTGTATATTTGAGTTGGACCGAAGGTTTTCTTGATTCATTCATTCACACATTGGATTGTCCCAGTATCAGCTGATGATGATTGGATGCCTTCACAGAGCTACAGCCAAAAGTCGTTCACCCAACCTATATTGCTGTTTTCTGGCCTGTTTCTGGCTGCTTCTTGCACAACTCCTTTGATATATGTCATGGTCAAAGCAATCGGATTTGTAGCTATTCTTGCTTGAAATTCAAGGATGTATCTTGCATCATCATTAACTGCTGAGTACATTATAAGTACAGCACCATGTATTTGGTATCATAAGATACCTAACAGATTCTCCTTTAGAAAAAAATGGTTTCAGGTCAATATATGTATCTAACTAAATATTGCTTTTCAGGGATGTTTACAAGTGTTCACTTTATCCTGCACTCTGTGTCATTAATACATGTGGACCAACGTCAAGGTCAAAGGTCAAGGTCATATTCATCAGTTTTGAAGCAAATTTTGACTTAAATGTAATATTTTCTCACCTATTATAGGTAAATCAACACACATATAAGATTGGCATCATTGTTTTAGAGTTCACAGTCTCTACTTTGTTAAATCAAATCTTGCCAAGATGACAAGTGTCGTAAAATAAGGATTTGGCCGGGTATTTCAGGTACAAATCCGGTAGTGACTGTGACCTTTGACCTTTCTTTTTATATGTGTCGAAGGAGTAGTGCTACTGCCACACTGAATTTGTGTGTTCTCAGCCTATCTAGAATAAACATGAGCTACTGCCATTTGTGTGTTACATCACAATCACAACGCAATTGCATGAATCTCAGATGAACCTCTGGCTGTGCTTAAATGGAAAATGAATCAACAAAGATTTTCCAAACGTTTATTGATTAATGATAATCTGTATGACATTAACTGTATATATCTCAAAGCATAGATAAACTTTGAATATGGATAAACATTTGCCATGCATAGGCTAGTTAGTGTAGGTATTTCACAATACATACTGTTCCTTTCAATTTATATATAAACTATATGAATGTACAAACATTTGGATCAATACAACAGTATCTTGAGTGATCTTGCATTAAACTCCCATGTTCCTTTCTTACCAATCAAGGGTTGGTGTTCGTAAAGGTACTTCCATACATACCAGATACCATCATACTGAAAGGGCAATAAATAGTTGGTGGTGGCTCTCAGGGCTCACAGTTGCAAGTGAAGTTTGAGAATTGCAATATTTTAAAACACTTATCTCGTGGCGAGTACGGAAAAATCATGAATTTAACTCTTTCAACACCGTAGGCCGGTACACCCACTGGCCAAGAAGCTTCAAGTCCCCAGACACCGAAGGCCGGTAGACTGACCAGGCCGTAATCACATCAAAATAGAGGGTGTATAATTTTATGAACCTACCTGTCATATCATTCATTTTTTAAATCTCTTGCATTTCACAATGTATGAAATATGTATTCCATTTCAATTTATCATTTTTTATCGCTATAATTAAAAGAAATATACACTATTTCCCGCAATGTTATTGAAAATAATATTCTTGGACACACACTTCAAGTTTGACAACCGGTCCACATCGGACTTCCAAAGAGCAAAATATACTATACAAAGTAATATAAAAAATTGACAAGAATATCTATAAAAGTTATCAAACTTACAGCTAAGTTATTATTTCCATGTTTTCGTGCGATTGCGTGTAATGTAAGTCAAATGAGATCTCGGCTTTCGTCGCCTCAATTTCTCGGATGTTTAATGCCAAAATATATGCATTGTCACAGCTCTTAACCTAGCACAATACATCCATGAAGTTCTTAAAACGTTCAGAATAACACGTTTTTAACCAAAAAAATCGTCAAAATCTGAAATTTCTCAAATTTGACAATATGTATGATCAGTAGGATTAGACCTTTCAAATGCTGTATTACATGTAGTAGCAAAGATGTTTTACAAGCAGATATTTTCCTTGATAAATGTTGGCTTCATCTATCATACAAGAGTCTCTGGGAACTTTCAATTTACATGAATCAGTGACAAGTTAAATAAAGTCAATTTCAGTGATATTTTGATTTTTTCAATCATTCAAGACATCAGGCATACACCATTGTGTACAAAATTGAGATTGAAGTAAAGTATCTTTTTAAAGTGACTATCCATGATCATGTCATCATATCATGTTTGACAGTTCTCAAAACAAACATCTATTTGAGAGCCAGCTAATATGTTAATCCTCAATTATTTAACATTGTTACAATTGCAACATTGCCTTCAAATTTGATGTCTTTTACTGTTATAAGTTATAATAGAAAACAGACAACTTCAAATAAACATAATCTTATATTTATAGGTAAAGTTGCATGGCGACTAGCGTTTTATTTTGGCTACTGATTAAAAATATTTACTTAGCTATAAACAAGTAAGTCAAAAAGTGAACTTTGACCCCTGGCTCTTAACATGAAGGACAATACAAGAGATCACTGAGGTACTAACCTGATTACAATAGTATCAATGTTATGGTTAAGATGGTATCAATGTTATGGCTAAGGCAGGTCATACCATACATCAGAACACAGAAGTGGTGGTCACATGTATTTTGTCTCTGTTTTATGGCATAACAAAATGCATTAAATGATATGTGTAAATGCTTCATCTGCAGATTTTCCAGGCATACTGGTATTCCAATCCAATATGAAGCAAATCTTAATCTGGATGATTTCTTTGCCTGTGGTGGTGGTCCTCAGCATTGGGCATCTGGTGGCGTTATAGTGAAGAAGTACATCAGCATCAACACTATGTAGATGAGTACCACTACAGAACCTGAAACAACACACATATACAACTGTCAGTTTCACAAATAAACTACTTCCAAACTGATATTTCTGAAACAAAATGTTTACCATGTTGCAAATATGACATTCACAGAGCTCGACCATCCCCTCATCTCATATACTGTTTGCTGCTTGCAGTCATGTAGCTTGGATGCCATGATGCTTTTAAACAAACCTTAGCTGTCAGAGAATAGATAAACATGTCACAAATAGAATAATTGGACTTAAAATGAATCGTAGTGTTGGTATTTGACAATTAGATCATTCACGAAGTAGCTTGGTTCCAGGGTGTGTTTCCTATTTCATGATCACTGATTGGTCAAACAGTCTTATTGTTCTATACATATAAAACTAGCCAGTCAAATAACCGGCTTATTAATTCTCAAAAAGAGTCCACAGTGGCCATATTGAAAGTAGATTGGAATGATGATTAGAGCAAATTTACAAATTAAACTATTTGTAGGATCCTCCACCTTGCAGCATAAGATATAGTCAATTAGATGATACTTGTCCAAGTTCAAGTTATGGGTAAACATATCCAAGATCTACACCTCTTTGGGCTTTCTTCTATCATTAAGCTGACATAAGTGAGTGAGTGAGTGAGTGAGTGAGTATGGTTTTACGCCGCTTTTAGCAATATTCCAGCAATATCAGAGCGGAGGACACGGCTGACATAAGTGAATTGATGTATCTGAATACTTTTCAAAGCGGTGTTAAACCAAGCTCACTCAAATCTCAAAATGGAAACAAAGTAAAACATGTAAATAAGATAAGTAAACTGTCAAACCAGGGAGCATGCCAATCAGTGGATGGTCAGATATATTCACTCACTCATCACATACCAACAACAAGTCATGTCCGCAAAATAAAAAGTAACTTCCAATACATAATTGGTGAAATCAGTCATGCAAGCTGAAGTTCTATTGGGTCAACAGTCACATTTATTTTAAAGAAGTTACCAACTGGTGTATGAGGAAGATTGTTTCTCATAATATCTTACCTTGGAAATAGTCACTTTTACCATCTTGGAATGTATAGTTTATGACAATCACAGAAAATATCACAGCAAACAGGTGCACATCTTGGAAGATTAACACGAAACCCAAAGGCTGCAAAACAAATTCAGAATATGGGATCAATTTGGGATGTAGAGAGTGTTTGAGACACTGGGAAGGAGGGAGTAAATGACTGAAGTGTATGGACAATGAGAGACTGTGTTTACCTGTGTTTGAGACACTGGGAAGGAGAGAGTAAATGACTGAGTGTATGGACAATGAGAGACTGTGTTTACCTGTGTTTAAGACACTGGGAAGGAGAGAGTAAATGACTGAGTGTATGGACAATGAGAGACTGTGTTTACCTGTGTTTAAGACACTGGGAAGGAGAGAGTAAATAACTGATTGTATGGACAATGAGAGACTGTGTTTACCTGTGTTTAAGACACTGGGAAGGAGAGAGTAAATGACTGAGTGTATGGACAATGAGAGGCTGTGTTTACCTGTGTTTGAGACACTGGGAAGTAGAGTAAATGACTGAGTGTATGGACAATGAGAGACTGTGTTTACCTGTGTTTAAGACACTGGGAAGGAGAGAGTAAATGACTGAGTGTATGGACAATGAGAGGCTGTGTTTACCTGTGTTTGAGACACTGGGAAGTAGAGTAAATGACTGAGTGTATGGACAATGAGAGGCTGTGTTTACCTGTGTTTGAGACACACGGAAGGAGAGAGTAAATGACTGAGTGTATGGACAATGAGAGGCTGTGTTTACCTGTGTTTTAGACACTGGGAAGGAGAGAGTAAATGACTGAAGTGTATGGACAATGAGAAACTGTGTTTACCTGTGTTTGAGACATTGGGAAGGAGAGAGTAAACAACTGAGTGTATGGACAATGGGAGACTGTTTACCTGTGTTTGAGACAGAGGGAAGGAGAGAGTAAATAACTGATTGTATGGACAATGAGAGGCTGTGTTTACCTGTGTTTGAGACACTGGGAAGGAGAAAGTAAATGACTGAGTGTATGGACAATGGGAGACTGTGTTTACCTGTGTTTGAGACATTGGGAAGGAGAGAGTAAATGACTGAGTGTATGGACAATGAGAGACTGTGTTTACCTGTGTTTGATACACTGGGAAGGAGAGAGTAAATAACTGAGTGTATGGACAATGAGAGACTGTGTTTACCTGTGTTTGAGACAGGGGGAAGGAGAGAGTAAACAACTGAGTGTATGGACAATGGGAGACTGTTTACCTGTGTTTGAGACAGGGGGAAGGAGAGAGTAAATAACTGATTGTATGGACAATGAGAGGCTGTGTTTACCTGTGTTTGAGACACTGGGAAGGAGAGAGTAAATGACTGAGTGTATGGACAATGGGAGCTAGACTGTGTTTACCTGTGTTTGAGACACTGGGAAGGAGAAAGTAAATGACTGAGTGTATGGACAATGAGAGACTGTGTTTACCTGTGTTTGAGACATTGGGAAGGAGAGAGTAAATGACTGAGTGTATGGACAATGAGAGACTGTGTTTACCTGTGTTTGATACACTGGGAAGGAGAGAGTAAATAACTGCGTGTATGGACAATGAGAGACTGTGTTTACCTGTGTTTGAGACACTGGGAAGGTGTGTAGTGTGGTGTGTGTATGTGTGTATGTGTGTATGTTGGTGTGTAGTGTGGTGTGTGTATGTTGGTGTGTAGTGTGTTGTATGTTGGTGTGTAGTGTGTTGTATGTTGGTGTGAAGTGTGTAGTGTGAAGTGTGTAGTGTGTGTGTGTGTGTGTGTGTGTGTGTGTGTGTGTGTGTGTGTGTGTGTGTGTGTGTGTGTGTGTGTGTCTGACACTGAAAAAGAGTAACTGAAAGTGTTATTTTTTGTTTGGTATGCATTGATACAATATCAGTTTGTACATAACATGTACATCAGTTTACTTACATATATGAGATTGATGAGAACCAGTATAGGCACCTGTACCAAACACACTTGAATTGCTGTAGAACTGCCAATTTCTATCCTGAATAGACGACACAAAAAAATCACATGATACAAACAATGAAACCACGTAGTTCCTTGATAGATTCTTCAAAACTAAATCAATTCCTGAATGCCATCAAACAGTAATGTACTGAAAAGAAGACGTCTCAAACTGTCATCCATGTACTGGTTTGTTATAATTGTCCAACAGTGTTACATCGCATACAGATGAATAGCAGGGGCATGGGTGCCCCAGTCATCTAAGACACCACATTTTGTTGTGCAGAGTTGAGTCTTTTGGACATGCCAGAAGCCAATGACGTCGAGTTTGAATCCCGGTTCTACCTGATTATGTTTCTAGGTTTGTCAGCACCATACCTGTGATTGTGGGTTTCAAAAAAGTGGTAAACATCTAAGACATGCATCACTTCAGGCTTTCCTCCCACATTAAGCTGACATGCCGTGAAATAACTGGAATATTACTAAAAGTGGCATTAAACCCAACTCATTCACACACTCACACTCACACTCACAGATGAATAACAGATTAAAAATTAGTTGACTTTATCTGACAAACAAATCAGTTAGCACAAAATTAATGAGTTTTCTTATGAATACATGATACTACTTTTGTTTGAACCTTATCCTTGTTTGATTACAATCACCCTGCTCATCTGCCAAGCATGTACTGTAGGCTCTGATCATGTGAGTACTTTAATACCTCATCCTTGAGTCTCCCCTTGTTGAACCAGCAGGGAAAATGTAAGGAAACAACATTTGTACAGAGGCAGTATTATGCACTGTTGTGAAGGTGAAAAAGCCAGCATGCAGAAGGCCCAAGGTCTTTTCTTAAAACACAAGTTATAAACTAATCGAAAAGCCTGACCAACGATACTGTTGTTAAAAAGTAAAAGATGTGAAACAAACAAAACTTTTAGTGTCATTTTTTAAGCCAAGAATAATTGAATACTTATCTTAGTATAACAGTGAATGTCTTAGAAAAGAATTTCTCATATGAGCTTGAAATCAACAAATCAAATTCCTTACCCATATGAGCCCTTGATGTATTTAATGGAATGTTATCAATGAAGTTTTGCAGGACAAATGTTTTCATGTGTCCCATGACAGTGGAAGGGAAGTCCTTATGCTATAAGATGTTGCAGTTGTATGTGCGAGAAAGTCGAGTTGAGTTCAGGTGATATCGTCATGAAAGAACAGTGTAATTTAATTCATAAAACATACAACTTAATTAACAGTCGTTATAATAATTTCCTAGTATGTGCCAGAAACATGGAACAATATTAAGGAGTAAAATATCTGCCCTGTGGAGACTACCATCTACCAAATGCATCAGTAACTAATGTTGATTCTTCGCCAAATATCTTACAAAAAGAGACAGGCTGTATGACAGGTTACCATTCTAACAACAGTGAACAAATGCAAGACATGTAACGATAAGCACATGCTGCTTGTGGAGGCACATGCTAACAGAAACATGTTCTTCCATGACAGATGTACTACTGGTACACAGAAGAGATGATGACAGCTACATTGCGATCCCAGTGAAGATGAAAGACTGACATACACCAAAGCTTTGCAGGGTTGATGACAATTGAAAAGGTAATCAAACTAGGAAAGTGTTTGCAAGGCACTTGCAAAAATAGAATTGCCATCAGTTTAAAGAAAGACATGTCAACCTGAAACCATGTATGTTGTCTTTATCCAACAATATGAGGAACCTAAATGCACTTCCACTCTGACAACATGTACACGGAGAGAGTCATGTCATCATTTTATGTTTGTGAAAACAAATGCCCAATACAGTACATGGTGTATCTTAATAAGAAAGTCATACAGATTTACGGTTGCATTATATTACTTCCAAAATAAATGTCATACACAGTGCAATTTTAAAACAGAAAGTCCCATGCATTAAGAATGCTGTCTTCATAAGTTTAATGACTTCACTCCAAGTAAGTCTCCAAAACAGAAAGTCACATGTCCCAGGTACATTTAATGAGAAAGTTCTATGCACTTGTGGTTTAATGACCTTCATACTCAATTTGAAAAAAAGAATTCCCCAGGGCCATGTGGAAGAAGTCTATGGATGAATGAATACTGTCTCAAGCCAATAATTTCTGCATTAAAGACACTAGGATAATCACGGGCAGGGGTAGACGAAATTGTCACTTAACCTCAAAGCTGGCCTATTTCATGGTGTAGTGTTAACAATAACATAACAAAAACTTCTGCTGAACAGAAGGGGTTGCTGATTATAAGGTATTAGCTAGAGCAGTGATCATGGCGTGCCTGCAGCATGTTATGCACTTGCTGTTTTGTTGCGTAACAAAGGAAAAGGCATATAGTAAGAACAAAGTTTGTACAAATAGTGCCACGGCACTACAGCTCACATTGATATTCAAATAATTTCTAAATATATAAAGACAAGAAGAATATATGATGATTTGAACAAAATGTCAACATAAGTAGAAACATTCAAGCCAATTTCAGAGATGATGATTACAGAGCAAGATATGCATTTTGAGAAGTAAAGTAAGAAATATATTATTTTTTTGCTCCAAAAACCCAACCCTGGAACATATGAATTGCTGTTGTACAAGTCATGTTACGGAGTTCATGTCTTTATGAAGAGAAAGTGAACACTCACCCTAAGTTGACATTGTTCTGCAGCGCAAACTGTACTCCATTTACAACCTCTGGCAATTCTGGAACCACCGCTAACATTGTCACTCCAACAAAATACTGCAATAGAAACAAACAGCAATATCTATCTATCTATCTATCTATCTATCTATCTATCTATAGTTTGATATATCACAGGTGCAAGATTGCACATACTTGTTTTGCACCACTGGCATCTGTGGTGTTGATCTCACGTGACTTGATCATTGTCGCACTCGGAACAAACGCCAGACAGCATTGGGAAGGGAGAGTCCATGTCCCACAATACGAGAATGATCTTGCTCCTTATACTTCCTAATCTGTGATTCTGCTTGTCTGTAGTTAACGTTTAGATGATCTCAAGAATCTATTTTGTGTTGACAGCCAAAACAGGAATTTATGGCCATGATGCAACAGAGGTAAGGTGTTCAAAGGAATAATACTGTTTGTTCCCTTTCAACCGCAACGTCACGTTTTATAGGAAACACAACTTTCGCCATCTATGAACGCTTGATAAATGATAATGAAATTAAGCACTTCCTGCATGGGTCATTTACTCTCAATATTTGTTTGAAGATTTCCATGTGAAACCAACTTTGATGATGTTTTTGAGTGTGTGTGAATGCTGTTGATAAACTGTGAAGAGTTAATTCCCTTTGCTCACAGGTGTGTTCCATTGTGAACTGTTGACACCATTAAACATTTTGTACTCCTGATTTATCAATATTGTACAAGTCAACCTGAACCAACTATGTCACCCCTCGAAGTAGCAACCATTTCGGTCACCAATGCAACTTAAATTTATTATTGGCAACCTAAATTATCAACTGTTGGGATAGGGGGCACGGGTGGCTCAGTCGTTTAAGGCGCCAGAGTGCAGAGTTGCCTCCCTTAGGCACAACAGAAACCTATAATTGTGGGTTTGATTCCAGCTGATATGCCATGATGTAACTGCAATACTGCTTAAAGCAGTGTTAAACCCAAATCACAGATACACACACTGCTGGGATACGATGAAAAACTTCAGCCATATCAGCGAGCTTGTTAGAGATGCTGTTACTCATTTCTTACAACAAGCATACCCGCCTTTTATGGCAAGCATAGCTTTCTGATGACCTATTCTAACCTAGATCTTCATGTGTACATCATCGGAAGATGCTGCACAATATCTTCTTGACTTCTTGAAGTTTTTTCAATACACACTTAGTTGCAAGGACCAGCTAATGAGCTGAGAAAAATTGCAACTTTCCTACTTCATTTAAACGCTCTTGGGCTAACCTGGTTGTTAAATACTCCGGATACATACAGTACTACATAGTACTAAATACAAGCATTATTTAGGAACTATTACATTAACCTAACCTTAATTATCTGGTATTACTTGCTGAAAATGAAGGATTTTCTAGCATGAAGTCGCCAGACAGTGAACTTATTCCAACTTATTTTCACCTTGTGCATGCCCAAGAGTTCTGAACAGGTATGTGCTAATACTGGCACATCTATTTCAGATAGCTGACAGTGCCGAGGACTTCTGTTGACAATCAGGAGATTTAGTGGGTACAGACAAAATACAGGATTATGGCAATGATGTAATAGAGGTTTAGTATCCGCAAGAATTATGTCAAGACGGGCCCCACTATTTCAGTAGATTATAAATATTATAATACAATGCTTATGTGTTCACATAAAAAAAGGATTGTTTGAGATTTTATTTATCAAATTCTTTGAAACTTTCCAAACACATTTTTGACAAAACTTTCTGTCCTCATCCAAGCTCATTGATTAGTAAAAGTTATCGTTAATATTTACTGCAATGTTAGGTCCAAGTTCACTACATGTAAGCCTGTTTACAATATAACCATGTAGCATTTTCATGTTACATTAACATCATCATGCAGACTTAGCTCAGGTTACTTGTGAACAATCTACATACAGTATTTTCCTACCTGTTCAAATGTACAACTGAACATTTTAGGCTAGCTTGCAGTTCATTGGAGAAAACTGGGTCAACCCTGTTCGCAGTGCGCATTCCACAATCATATGGTACAAGGGAGATAACTCTGACCATCAGCTTCCTTTGACATCCCTTGATAAACCATTTTCTTCACATTCCTTAATGACATTATTTACATAATGTAAACCTTGTTATCGCAAACCGCATTTTCTTGAATGTACTGATATCTCGAACCTATCCTCTGGTCCTGACCATCTCACTATAGAAACATACAGTGGAAATTAAACCGACTGTTTTACCAATTATGTACTTATCTCTTAATCCCATTGTGATGGTAATCTTTATTGACAAATAAAACATTGTGAGTGGACATGCGAAAGAACAAGGTGGCACTTCCTGGTTGCATCAAAAAGTTCTAATTAAAGTCAGATTAAAGGAATTTATGCCATGTGATTCTACTCACAATACCCAAGCTGTGAATGGACAAGCTCAAGGCGAGAACTGTGCTTGGTTTTTTTTGTAAAGTGGAGAGACTAAGAGATAGCTGATGTGCCTAATAATTTGTCACAATTGTTATTTATCATTGCCGGCAAAACATATTTCAATTTGTCATCACATACACATGCCACATACTTAATTTCTTGTGTATGCAATTGTACTGCTATGTATCTATAACACTGTTACTTGATCTGTCTGGTTGTTCATGCCTCGCTACCCCGAATGTCCAGATATCTCCAAGTTACCACACAGTCGCTGATGGTTCGAGATAATGGAGTTCGACTGTGGTTACTTTGAGAATTTACCCTATTTCTGTGAGCAATAAAATACAGATAACCAGTACTTCTGTTGAATTATAGATATTCCCTGCTGATACTCTTTAGGGACAAGTGTACATGTGAGGTGAATGTTGTACGAACCAATTCCTTGGTTAACCTATGCATTTCAATTTCCAAATTGACCCAACTACTATACTGCTCTTCTATTTCGTGACATTTAACCTTATTACTGACCAATTATGGTGGGTACTCAACATGCCCTTTAATAAGGAACTGTTTGAAGTCATTGAATGGTTATTTAGACCTACAATACTATGGCTATTACTTGATTGCAATCATCAAAAGGTAGTATTATGATAACTATTGTTTTGATTATTCTTGCAAATCCCCTACCTTTATTACATAATTGCCAAAATATTCCAGAGGGACTGGTGGCTTCTGTCTCTAGTAGCCACCCCTAACACACACCCCAACTCACACACAACCCATCCCCCTTTTTCATAGAAGAAGGGAAAAATGTGATCCCCATTGGCATCCAGTTACAACATGTTTGACAGAAACAGAAGTATGGGACGCCAGGCTCGTCGCCAAAGCTTAAATTTTGTGGGCAGAGCGTGAAGCCATCAGATGAGGGTCATCCTGTGCTCAACAATGGTTGCCGCAATGATCTTCTTGAGCCAGCGGGCAACTGTGGCCTTTGTAATGTCCTTGTTGGAATGTGTCTGGCAGGACATAAAAAGCTGTTTCCGCAATTAGGATCAGTAGCCACCAGATAAAACTTGGCAAATTTGGCAAAAGTATAGGCAGAATTTGTTATCCTGTCATAGATAGAGCAAAATATAAGCAACCATGGGGATAGTAACAGTGCCATCAGCTAAGCCACGTTGACGAATTTGTCCCAATGGTTGTCATAAAGAGAGGAGGAAGGTTTCCACGAAAAAGAGGCATAGAACTGACCAACTTGGGCTGGTGCAGAAGATCTCTGCGAAGTGGAAGGCGGAGAGGATTGTCCATCAGGAGAGATAAGAGCCTAAGAAACCAGGTCCTGCTCGGCCAGACTGGAGCGATGAGGATGAATTTGCAATCCATCACCTCCAGTTTCTGAATCACTTTGTCTAGGAGAGGACATGGAGGGAATGCATAAGCAAAGAGACCCGTCCAGTCCATCGAGAGTGGTACAAGGCGGACAAAAACAGGAAGCAGATGATTGAGTCACGTTGCAAAGAGTGCAAAGCAAGGTTATCCAGGTGAACAAGTGTGGATGCAGAGTCCACTCCGTTGCCTCTGTCGGGACAAACTGTCCACCAGTATGTTCAACTTGCCGGGAATGAGTCTTGCTTCCATCCAACAGTTGAAGGAGTCTGCCGAGGCAAACAAACGAGTAGTTTCCACTCCGTTGCCTCTGTCGGGACAAACTGTCCGCTAGTGTGTTCAACTTGCCGGGAATGAGTCTTGCTTCCATCCAACAGTTGAAGGAGTCTGCCGAGGCAAACAAACGAGTAGTTTCCGTCATAAGAGAACAGGAATTGGTTCCTCCCTGTTTCTGGACTTAAGCCACAGTACCATGGTATTGTCCGTGGCTATCAGGATGGATGAGTTGAGAAGACGATTTTGCTAATGTGCGAGAGCATAGAAGATTGCTTTCATCTCTCTGAAGTGAATATAGAGATCCTTCTCCTGCTCAGTCCATAAGCCCTGTATCTGGAGATTGTCGATATGTAGCATCGACCATTCTCCACAAAACGGAGGAACTTCCGCGATGTGTAATGAATGGTCATGTGGAGGATAGGTGTCCTGTAGGTTGAGTGAGTGAGTGAGTATGGTTTACGCCGCTTTGAGCAATATTCCAGCAATATCATGGTGGGGGACACCAGAAATGGGCTTCACACATTGTACCCATGTCGGGATCCTGTAGGTTGAAGCTAATGACCCAAGTTCCTGCACGGAGGGACAAACACAGCTTACAGATTCCATCTGGTATTTGGGAGGCTGGGCTAAATATGACTTGTGAAGGGTCTTGAGGTCTATGATCATTATCATCTCTGTGAAGGGTTTCTTCGGGACTAAGGAGACAGGGGAGTAAAACCCCTGGCTTTCGTCAGGATCCTGAAGATACCGAATGGCCCATTTGGCGATCAATTTCTTGATAGCTGCCTCTAATTTGGCCCCCACCAGATGATATCTTCGACCTACAGGGCGGGATATAAGGCGTGGATGTTTGTTGAAATGCAACTTGTACCTGTGAAGAATCACGTCAAGAATCCAGGTGTTGGACGTAGTGTGCATCCAATTTTTAGTGTAAGACAAAGACACCCTCCCCACTGGACCCAGCAACTGCGTTATGTTGAAAAACAGAAGGCGTCTATCGATATCCGTAGACAAAGCCAGGTTGAACAGATCTGAGACGATGGGAGGATTGGGGTACTGTCATTTGCGGTCCCCTTGATCTCCCAAATGAAGCCTCTTCTTCTTCTGAAGCCGTTTGTCTTGACTGCCAAGTTTATAGTGAAGACTTGATTCATTTAGTCATATCTTGACGGACTTCCTGAACGATTTTCCCAAGCTTGTCATTGCGAATCTTTGGAGCCGTAATGGCTGAGACATGACCACTGGTGCTGTAACCAGAAGAGCTGGGAAGATGTCCGGACTTGCGTTGTTAGCAATTTCTCTTGCATGCAAACGATCATCCCAAGGAGACTGCAAATAAGTCCGACCTGATCAATACGTATGTGCGTCGGAATGTTCCCCAGGACATCATTGTAGGAGTTTGACAATGGAGGCATAGCAAAACAAATCCCGGCAACAAACCAGTTGAGATATGTTCCCACACCAATGGAGCACCTGTTGACAGTTGATAAATCCTTGACACGGCTGGCAGAGATGGTGAGTTTCATAGTTGGATTCTTGACTAACTTGAGATACTCGTCACTGAGAGGTTGCAAATCTTGGAGGGGTGAATCATGGGTTTGATATAACTCCCTCCTCATAGGAAGGAGGGGAAGTCAATCATTGTGCCGTAGCTTCTGTAAGGTATTTGACATCTGATCAATAATCTCAGCAGTGTAGCTCGGCTATGGAAGAGTGCGATGTTTGATGAAGACATAGGTGCATGGCAACATGCATACTCCGGCATCTGGGATGGAAGAGATTGTTCCGTGCGTGTTTTGAGTTGTCGGCACACAATTGTAGATAGAGTAGATCATATCTACATAGAGTAGACTATATTCACGCGATAGTGAATCATCCGAGGGGTCATAATCTTTGCCAAAGTCTGATTCTGAATCTGTGGGTGCATGATGATGAGGTACATCCATAACATCTAAAGGATCTGCGTCATCCTCATGTAAATCCTCAGTGTCATTAATTCCGGGATTATTTGTTTAAGGAAGGGTTGTGACATGTTATCGGAGGTAACAGGATCTGAACCGCCTTACTGAAGCTGTACAATATTATCAAAATTTGCATGTGACATGGAGTCAATGCGGTATCCGCATGGCTGTCAAGATGATCTCGTGGAAACCATGTGGTAGTCGTTTAAACTCTGTTAACAATAGAAGACTGGTAGTCCATGTAGTCGATGATGTCTGTGCGGGAGCCATATGGGACCTTAGATGAACCCATTCCCTTAGGCTCAACCTGTGGGTCTAATGGGATATCTGGACGATCGGGCAGACCGTGTGGTGACCCGGCTATCACGGAGGGTAAGACATGGTCACAGCTACCCAGCTGGTTGTCCGGAGGTCATTAGACCCAGGCCCTGGCAGACAAAGATGGTTGGGGCTCTACTGAAAAAAAATCCCAATGCCTCTTGGTTGGGGGATTCTTCTAGGCCTGTAAGTCCTGAACCTTCTTTAACTGGTCGACCTTCAACGACAAGACTGACAGATGGGAAGTAAGACCTCCATGGACACCTTCTAGCGGGCAAAATGGGAGTACAGTTTTACAATAGTTATCTGGAAACCAATTTAAGAACAGCCTGTGATAGTTTTCATCATGAGACTTTTGATATTGTTGTCAGACTGATTAAGCAATATTAACTTGTCCTAAATGTAAAGGACTATCCAAATATCCGTTTACATTTGTGAAAAATTATCATCTGGAGTCAAGCAGTCTATGTCATGAGACCTCTGACCTGGTATTGACCGATTTATAAAACTTGATCTATCTCCATATGACATTTGGACATATCATCTAGTTATATAGTCTGGAAACCAAAATGTGAAGGCATTCACTGGAATGGTTGATTGGCCATTTCACAATCTGCCTTTGTCTACAACCCGTTGAGCTAAACACGCTAAGTATGACTGACTTTTGAGAGGGAATGAATATGTTGGAAAATCCATTGTTTTTTGCTGCACAAACCTACCTTAGCATTAGTTAGTTCTTTGACCAATGAATATTTAATAACAACACATAGGTGGGATGAAAAGGGTGTTGTAGATGTTCAAGTTGACTGTAACTCAAAACACTTGCATAATATCAGCTGTATCATTGATCTGCATCCTAACCAGCATCAGTGCTGGCATTCACTGAAAGTTTTTTTTCATGTAGAGCTTACCTCTGATATTCCTGATGACTCTAAAAGTGGTTGTATATTGTCTGTGATGAGATCTGAACACAGTGCAATCAGTACAGCACATATGAGCAGAATGATGGTGCTCTTGATTCTGTTCCACTGCGGGGCTCCTTCACCTCCGTGATTGTTGGATTTGAGCTCTTCTTCAAAAGCACCATAGACATGTGAAGAATGAGTTTTGAGTGTGTAGACGAGTCCCACAATGTAGGCCACAGGCAGGACCAGCGCACAGGAATACACAAGGGGTTCAATGTGCTGCTGGTACAGACTCTGGTCACCGTTTAATCCAACCTGCAAATATTTCAAAATGATGAGAAACATTTCCACTTTCCACTTTCAATTCCAGGATCAAATATTTTCAATAATCGCAATATGCTAACCAGGAACATCTAACAGTAGTTCATGTGATATGAGCTAGCTGACATGGTTAATACCTGATGTTCTTTCATTTATCAGCACCAGTGACATCAAACTGGAATAAATATTATGTCAACTTGTAAACTAATAATATTTGCACTTACATTGAATATGCCACTGAAGTAATTGAATATATTATGAACTGCCCTTTTGTTATAATATAAGATATTATCTTGCCTTCCAGCAAGTGTTTGGCTTATGCAAGAATAATATCTTTGCATTCATAACTTCATGAATAAAATAAATTTAGGCCAGAAGCAAATGCTTGAACTACTTTAGGAGCTAACTTATCTTCTCTTCCACACAAGACTTTGAACAGGAATTGAGAAATCTAAACTGGAAATGTCAGTAATAACACACAACATTGTGATTGCATCTAAATAAACATGCAAAAACAGAAACAGACTCATCTCCACTTTTCCTGAATGCCACGAAACTGTGCCTCTAGCTACCTTAATAACACTCAAAAACACTACATGTATATCATATACATTAGTATGTTCAGAAGCTGCCAAATCCCCACCTTTCCCTGAATGCCTCAAAGCTTTCCCATCAGAAACCTATATCACAAACCAATACACATGCCCAATACAGTACAACTTTCCAAAAAGTCCACAGGCTCAAGCTACCTTAATTTCAAAGTTCTATACACTTTCAGTTAAAGTACTCACTGAAATGAAAAAAACCCTGTTTTGCTGGATTTAATAATCGACACAAAGCATTACGTAGATGTAAATATGAAATAACAAAACAACTGGAAAAGTACTAGTCTGGATTTGCTAGTTTTATCTCAGTGCTCAATACAAAATGTACTTTACAGGAGGTAATTTGTAGGCACTTTCAACATTCAAAAATAAAACTAAGTCCAAATTGACATGGCAGAAACAGGCTATAGGCATTATGCAAATTAGCCTGGAAAAAGTTATCAAAACAACAATAAAAATAACAGCTATGTTCATGTACATAATAATAATGACATGTAAGTTGTTGTTTGAGAAGGGAATATGTTACTTTTACGTTCTGATATTTTGACGATGAGTCACTATCCCACAATGCCACTGACAAATTACTAACCACTGACAAATCACATGCACGTGGGTTTCAAGCACCTGTTTTCACCTGTCGTCAAGGTGTCATAGGTCATGGACATTCACCTTGATCTACTAACACCTGGTTATGCTCAGTTTCACAATAGTCTGTTTTGTACATATTTTATACACTTTTACGTGTAAAAAGACATAAAAACCTTTGATACACTGTATTTGTGCCAAGGCCCAATTAGTACTAATTGAGTTGTTTGAATATTTATATATTTTGTACATTAACTGCATTTATTTAAAATCTGAGATCGAAAAAACAGGTTTTTTTCATTTCCGTGAGTACTTTAGTGACTACTTCCAGCTTGAGAAAATGCATGCATGTTAAAAGCAGTAAAATTTAGAGTCCTTTTCCTCTATGCCTCAATCTACCTTAATAACCACTGCTTAGTACTTTTGGTTTTCATAATGTCCTTAGCTGTTTGGGAAAACATATGCCCAATTCAGTACAGCAAAGTAATGAGTACTTCTGGTTAATAACATCACTGCGGGTTAATGACAACACTTCAGGTTTGACAAAACACATGTCTAATGCAAGAAAACATTTAAATAATATGTTCTGTACCTCTAACTACCTTAAGAAAGTCATATGCACTTCCAGGTAAATTTTTTATATGACTTCAGGTTGGAGAAAATACATGCCTAAAAACAGTCTAAGACAGAAAGTGCCATGCCTCCAGGTATTTTAACAAGAAAGATATATGCACTTTCAGTTCACAACTTGATTTGGAAAGATATCTTTTACATAGAAAGTCACATGCCTCTAAAAGACACAGATGCACTTCCAATTTAATGACCTTGACCCTCTGTTTCAGCCAATCACATTTCTGAATAGTTCTTGTTGAAAATATTAGTGAATGTTCATGCAGTATTTTAAAACCATTCCAAATGACTATCCAACACATAAACCAAATATGATGTCCCTCGGTGGAATTCAATGTGGCAACAATACAAATTGTATATGCTTCTCATTGAAAATAAGTGACAGTGACTAAACACTGGTATCATAAGATTGTCAACATTTAATTGAAAATGGCAAAAATAGTTTACAGATGACCTTCACTGTGACTTTGATGTTGAAGGATAATTACTTGATATGACGTCCCTGACATAGCCATACAAACACCATTTGGTGATAAAAATGAAATTGGACATGCTACCATTTTGGTGAAAATGGCAAACATATTTTACAAATTACCTTCACTGTGACCTTGACCTTATACATAGGTTACTCAGAACCTTTCTGATAATGGCCCCAAGTTGCACTGACATACAGTAAAATACTTCTTGAGTTATTATTTAAACATTATCTGAAGGATGACATGACCTTCAACTCTTGACATGACTGGTCAATGCAGCAAAACAATTTCCCAGGGCCATAAAGGAGATAAACATAATATGATATCCCTAGGTGTCCAAGTGCTGAGTGGTTGAAAACATAAAGTGTGGCAGCAGCAATCAAGTTCTGACAAAACCTTCAAGCATCTCAATTTACATCTGGCTGCTTAAATAGTATCACTTGTGTAACTGTAACCAATACCATCTCTTTACTTAAGCCTTCTTTCCCTGTTATTTCCCTGTTGTTAGCAAGTCTTGAGCCAAGTCGTAATAAACATTTTCTATGAAGCTCCGACACCACCCAAGTAGACTTGGTTGGTTTACAAGAAAATTCATTACATCACCAACCATGTCAGATGATCACATTGCCTTGAAAAACATAGGAGGGAATCCAGTTGCTGGGATGTGGGATTGACTGTATTTATAAGGAAAGATGCTTCCAGAAAAATGGATGGACAGACAACGCACAAAGGACCACAATCTAGGTTCACTTTCAGCTAAGGTCAGCCAATATTGGTAGTATTTACAGCATTTTAGTGGAGTATGTACAGTAACAAAAAAAATCTCTTGGCCCAAGGAAGAAAAAACAAATTGTCTTACATTTTGAAAACAAAAATCTCCTATTTACCATTTAGTCATGTCATGTGTATTGGGTAATTAACATAACTGTAAAATCTGTTGACACCAAAGGCAGCTGTCAACAGGCACCTGCAGGAAAAAACCTGGATGTGACTTACCACTGACTGAGTACAAGAAGTGCACTTGAAACCATAAGTAACATTAGTGCCATTTGGGCTTAGATGAGAGCCGTTCACAATGTCCATTTCTTTGATTTCCTGCTCGCAGTCCTTGCACTGAAGGTCCCCATACAGCTTTGAGAAAACTGTCGGTGCAAACACACCTGAAAGATACATGATAACTGGAAATGTCAGTCATGATTTGACATTTTATATAAGGAAAACAATGGTAATTACATACAACAAACAACTAATGCTGTGTTGTATAACCTACCAGCAATACATACAGAAAGCAAGGCACCACTGATGCTGTGGTGTACAACCTACCAGCAATACATACTAAGAGTAAGGCAACACTGACGCTTTGTACAACCTACCAGCATTACATACAGAGAGTAAGGCAGCACTGAAGCTGTGGTGTACAACCTACCAGCAATACATACAGAGATTAAGGCAGCACTGATGCTGTGGTGTAGAACCTACCAGCAATACATACAGAGAGTAAGGCAGCACTGACACTGTGGTGTACAACCTACCAGCAATACATACAGAGACTAAGGCAGCACTGACGCTGTGGTGTACAAACTACCAGCAATACATACAGAGAGTAAGGCAGCACTGACGCTGTGGTGTACAACCTACCAGCAATACATACTGAGATTAAGGCAGCACTGACATTATGTACAACCTACCAGCAATACATACTGAGAGTAAGGCAGCACTGACGCTGTGGTGTACAACCTACCAGCAATACATACAGAGAGTAAGGCAGCACTGACGCTGTGGTGTACAACCTACCAGCAATACATACAGAGAGTAAGGCAACACTGACACTGTGGTGTACAACCTACCAGCAATACATACAGAGAGTAAGGCAGCACTGACACTGTGGTGTACAACCTACCAGCAATACATACTGAGATTAAGGCAGCACTGACATTATGTACAACCTACCAGCAATACTTACTGAGAGTAAGGCAGCACTGACCCGGTGGTGTACAACCTACCAGCAATACATACTGAGATTAAGGCAGCGCTGACATTATGTACAACCTTCCAGCAATACATACTAAGATTAAGGCAGCACTGACGCTGTGGTGTACAACCTACCAGCAATACATACTGAGAGTAAGGCAGCACTGCCATTATGTATTACCTACCAGCAATACATACAAAGATTAAGGCAGCACTGACGCTGTAGTGTACAACCTGCCAGCAATACATACAGAGAGTAAGGCAGCACTGACGCTGTACTGTACAACCTACCAGCAATACATACAGAGAGTAAGGCAGCACTGACATTATGTACAACCTACCAGCAATACATACAGAGAGTAAGGCAGCACTGCACTGTAGTGTACAACCTACCAGCAATACATACTGAGATTCAGGCAGCACTGATGCTGTGGTGTACAACCTACCAGCAATACATACAGAGATTAAGGCAGCACTGCCATTATGTACAACCTACCAGCAATACATACAGAGAGTAAGGCAACACTGATGCTGTGGTGTACAACCTACCAGCAATACATACAGAGAGTAAGGCAGCACTGCCATTATGTACAACCTACCAGCATTACATACTGATATTAAGGCAGCACTGATGCTGTACTGTACAACCTACCAGCAATACATACAGAGATTAAGGCAGCACTGACGCTGTGTACAACCTACCAGCAATACATACTGATATTAAGGCAGCACTGACGCTGTACTGTACAACCTACCAGCAATACATACAGAGATTAAGGCAGCACTGACGTTATGTTCAACCTACCAGCAATACATATAGAGAGTAAGGCAGCACTGACGCTGTTGTGTACAACCTGCCAGCAATACATACAGAGAGTAAGGCAGCACTGACGCTGTACTGTACAACCTACCAGCAATACATACAGAGAGTAAGGCAGCACTGACATTATGTACAACCTACCAGCAATATATACAGAGAGTAAGGCAGCACTGACGCTGTACTGTACAACCTACCAGCAATACATACAGAGATTAAGGCAGCACTGATGCTGTGGTGTACAACCTACCAGCAATACATACAGAGAGTAAGGCAGCACTGACGCTGTACTGTACAACCTACCAGCAATACATACACATATTAAGGCAGCACTGACGTTATGTTCAACCTACCAGCAATACATATAGAGAGTAAGGCAGCACTGATGTTGTGGTGTACAACCTACCAGCAATACATACAGAAAGTAAGGCAGCACTGACGCTGTACTGTACAACCTACCTGCAATACATACAGAGATTAAGGCAGCACTGACGTTATGTTCAACCTACCAGCAATACATATAGAGAGTAAGGCAGCACTGACGCTGTGGTGTACAACCTACCAGCATGACATACAGAGAGTAAGGCAGCACTGACGCTGTACTGTACAACCTACCAGCAATACATACAGAGATTAAGGCAGCACTGCCATTATGTACAACCTACCAGCATTACATACTGATATTAAGGCAGCACTGATGCTGTACTGTACAACCTACCAGCAATACATACTGAGATTAAGGCAGCACCGATGCTGTGGTGTACAACCTACCAGCAATACATACAGAGAGTAAGGCAGCACTGACACTGTGGTGTACAACCTACCAGCATGACATACAGAGAGTAAGGCAGCACTGACGCTGTACTGTACAACCTACCAGCAATACATACAGAGATTAAGGCAGCACTGACGTTATGATCAACCTACCAGCAATACATATAGAGAGTAAGGCAGCACTGATGCTGTGGTGTACAACCTACCAGCAATACATACAGAGAGTAAGGCAGCACTGACGCTGTACTGTACAACCTACCAGCAATACATACAGAGATTAAAGCAGCACTGACGTTATGTTCAACCTACCAGCAATACATATAGAGAGTAAGGCAGCACTGATGCTGTGGTGTACAACCTACCAGCAATACATACAGAAAGTAAGGCAGCACTGACGCTGTACTGTACAACCTACCAGCAAAACATACAGAGATTAAGGCAGCACTGACGTTATGTTCAACCTACCAGCAATACATATAGAGAGAAAGGCAGCACTGACGCTGCGGTGTACAACCTTCCAGCAATACATACAGAGAGTAAGGCAGCACTGCCATTATGTACAACCTACCAGCAATACATACAGAGATTAAGGCAGCACTGACGCTGTGGGGTACAACCTACCAGCAATACATACAGAGAGTAAGGCAACACTGATGCTGTGGTGTACAACCTAACAGCAATACATACAGAGATTAAGGCAGCACTGCCATTATGTACAACCTACCCGCAATACATACTGATATTAAGGCAGCACTGACGCTGTACTGTACAACCTACCAGCAATACATACAGAGATTAAGGCAGCACTGACGCTGTGGTGTACAACCTACCAGCAATACATACAGAGAGTAAGACAGCACTGACGCTGTACTGTACAACCTACCTGCAATACATACAGAGATTAAGGCAGCACTGACGTTATGTTCAACCTACCAGCAATACATATAGAGAGTAAGGCAGCACTGACACTGTGGTGTACAACCTACCAGCAATACATACAGAGAGTAAGGCAGCACTGACGCTGTACTGTACAACCTACCAGCAATACATACAGAGATTAAGGCAGCACTGACGTTATGTTCAACCTACCAGCAATACATATAGAGAGTAAGGCAGCACTGATGCTGTGGTGTACAACCTACCAGCAATACATACAGAGAGTAAGGCAGCACTGACGCTGTACTGTACAACCTACCAGCAATACATACAGAGAGTAAGGCAGCACTGACGTTATGTTCAACCTACCAGCAATACATATAGAGAGTAAGGCAGCACTGATGCTGTGGTGTACAACCTACCAGCAATACATACAGAAAGTAAGGCAGCACTGACGCTGTACTGTACAACCTACCAGCAATACATACAGAGATTAAGGCAGCACTGACGTTATGTTCAACCTACCAGCAATACATATAGAGAGTAAGGCAGCACTGACGCTGTGGTGTACAACCTACCAGCAATACATACAGAGAGTAAGGCAGTACTGCCATTATGTACAACCTTCCAGCAATACATATAGAGAGTAAGGCAGCACTGATGCTGTGGTGTACAACCTACCAGCAATACATACAGAAAGTAAGGCAGCACTGACGCTGTACTGTACAACCTACCAGCAATACATACAGAGATTAAGGCAGCACTGACGTTATGTTCAACCTACCAGCAATACATATAGAGAGTAAGGCAGCACTGACGCTGTGGTGTACAACCTACCAGCAATACATACAGAGAGTAAGACAGCACTGACGCTGTACTGTACAACCTACCTGCAATACATACAGAGATTAAGGCAGCACTGACGTTATGTTCAACCTACCAGCAATACATATAGAGAGTAAGGCAGCACTGACACTGTGGTGTACAACCTACCAGCAATACATACAGAGAGTAAGGCAGCACTGACGCTGTACTGTACAACCTACCAGCAATACATACAGAGATTAAGGCAGCACTGACGTTATGTTGAACCTACCAGCAATACATATAGAGAGTAAGGCAGCACTGATGCTGTGGTGTACAACCTACCAGCAATACATACAGAGAGTAAGGCAGCACTGACGCTGTACTGTACAACCTACCAGCAATACATACAGAGAGTAAGGCAGCACTGACGTTATGTTCAACCTACCAGCAATACATATAGAGAGTAAGGCAGCACTGACGCTGTACTGTACAACCTACCAGCAATACATACAGAGATTAAGGCAGCACTGACGTTATGTTCAACCTACCAGCAATACATATAGAGAGTAAGGCAGCACTGACGCTGTGGTGTACAACCTACCAGCAATACATACAGAGAGTAAGGCAGCACTGCCATTATGTACAACCTTCCAGCAATACATACAGAGAGTAAGGCAGCACTGCCATTATGTACAACCTACCAGCAATACATACAGAGATTGAGGCAGCACTGACGCTGTGGGGTACAACCTACCAGCAATACATACAGAGAGTAAGGCAACACTGATGCTGTGGTGTACAACCTACCAGCAATACATACAGAGATTAAGGCAGCACTGCCATTATGTACAACCTACCAGCAATACATACGGATATTAAGGCAGCACTGACGCTGTACTGTACAACCTACCAGCA